GGCCACTGCACTCCAGTCTGGGCGACAGAGTGAGACTCCAACTCAAAAAAAAAAAGAATACACAATCATCCAGGAATGAGTCTGACCAAAACAAAAAACAAAACAACCCCTAAAACAAGTAAATTAGATCAAGCCACTTCCAATTCAACTTCCATTTTATAGGAAACACACAAGAGAGAGGAACACATAAGCTAAGTTACAAAGAAGCAGCCAGTAAAATCTAGACTATATCCAGAAACAACTTGATTTCTTCAACAAACAAAGTGCAAAAAAAAAAAAAAAAAAGATGAAGGGTGAAGCTATACAATAGCATGACAAAACATATAAGCAAATGAAGCTGTGTACACTTTGAATTCTTATTCCAACAACTTAAAGCACACATACACGTTGTACAAAGCATACACACTGTAAGAGATCATTAGAAATTTGAACACTGACTTGATGTTTTATAATAATACAAACAGTCTATTTTGGGGGATTTCCTAATGCAATATTTAGTAATAAAATTATGTGATGTGTGATATTAATTTCAAAATAATATAAGAGGGAGGTGAGTGGTGGTATAAATACAACAAGATTGGTATGAGTTTATAATTGTTGAAGTTGGTAAAAGGAACATGGGGCTCATTATACTATTCTTCCTGCCTTTTATGTATTTAAAATTTTTATAGTACATATGCTTATTAAAAAGTATAAGGAAAATCTAACTGAAAATGCTATTGGAATATTTGACAGAACTGGATGTGGTCCAATTTAATAGATTTACAAGAGTCATTTAAGTTCTTGGGAGGATTTTGTTTTGTGGGGTCATTACATTTGTTCATTTAGGTATTTGGAATGCTTAAAAATAATATTCAATATATCAGATGTATATATGCAATGTAAAACATCTTAGGGAGTTTAATTAATTTATAAACAGAATTGTTGATTTGAAAGAATTTGGTTTTAGCCAGTTGAGTTGTCCAATCATTAACCAAATATCTCTTGAAAGTAGTTCTTATTTACATAAAAATTACTAGATGTATAAATAGAAAAACCAAAGTTATATGATGTAAATTTAAGTACTTAAGTTAGGCCTTTGCA